GGAATCATGTTAGTATGATCTGATGTTTGGAATTTCTTTTAGATCCAAAATTGCAGAGTTGTCTTCAGTTTTGGAATCATGGAATTACTTTTATTTCAGTTGAGCATGTTGAATAACTCCACCATTTGGGAATTCAAAACTTGCTGGATGTTTTCAGTCCGATACCATTCTGAACTATGGATCATTACAGTTACTTGCAAGAATTTAAAATAGAAAATTTGAAAGAAAATACTTCTTTTGCTGTCCTCTTATGCATCTTTTATACCACAATTCATCCTGTTTTGTTTTTGTCTCTGCAATCCCCTTGATACTAAAATTAAGTTGTCTTCCAGCCTCCCTGCTGTTCTTCCAGTGATGGTTCCTGTAGCCTGGGTGGAGTGTGCAAAGATTGTACTACGGTAAAATAACTAATTATGGAGAAACGTTTTAACCAAATTTCTGTGTCTAGTTACGCATGCATCAATTCTCGTTTTCAATTTTTCCGTGTCAGTGCTTTCGTCACTCGGATCTGCGCAATGGGCGTCCATCTACCACACAATTTAAAGAAAAACTTCCCTGGTTCCTCAGTGCTCTACCGTCTTCTGATTGTGCTAAAGGTGGCCATGGAGCTTACACTAGCAGTGTGGAATTCAAAGGTTTGTGGATTGGATTTTGTGCCTTTATGATAACTTCCAAACTGATTATGTGCTTTCAGGTTAAACTGTCATTAGATGTGGCTTGTTATTTAAATTTGCTTTTTTAATAGTTAATCATATTTTTGGCTATCAGGCAATGGAAGTGACATTATTCCAGCATCATCATTTCGTACATATCATACACCTCTCAACAAGCAGGTATCTCGTCTGTGATCAATACAAACAAAATTTTCATTTTTTTTTTAATCTATTATCTCTTTTATTAATTAATACTAAAGTGAGCCCCATAACTTAAATATCTACAATTTATTTTAGGTTGACTATGTAAATTCAATGAGGGCTGCTCGGGAGCTCAGTTCTAGACTTTCTGATTCTTTGAAGGTAAGATTTGAAGGCTACTTGCGAAGATGGTTGGTATATTTACAGTACATCTTTAATATTATAAAGCCACATCAAAATATGTATTTCCATAAATTCCCTTTAGATATATATATAGTATTAATTAGCTCATATATTTTTTTATACAGGATTGCCATTGTAAATAATAAACTATAAGTATGTGTCCAAAAAAAATGGCTATTATCGTAACTAAGTTGAAAAAGCGTCAAAACAAGAGAGGAGAGAATCTACCAAGTCAGTAAGCATGTAAGCTGCTAGTTTCTTATAATTTTAAACCGTGAAACCCAACAGGAAAACTACGCAAAATTACTCCTTTTCTTAGGAGTTGAAAGCCCTTTCCTTTTTGCATGGGTCGAGATGTGGGTAGAATAGTCTTTCTCTATGCAGAAAAGGGCTCATGGTCCACTTTTCAAAATGGGTTATTTTTGGGTCCTTGGACCAAATACCCAATTTTTCCCAGTTAGATTGAGTACAGCAGTCCTGTCTTGCCCATTTCCCTTAGCCACTGGTTTATCATTCCATTATGTTATGAAAATAAATTAACTTATTGATTCACTTATGTGTTAGTCGTGGTATGTCTATTGAACTGATATTTCTTTTCTGATGCAGATTGAGATATTCCCATATTCAGTATTCTATATGTTCTTTGAGCAATACCTTGATATTTGGAGAACAGCACTGATCAACCTTTCTATAGCCATTGGTTAGTTATTTTTTCACAGCACTGAACAAGAAGATAGCAGATAGCTCAACACAAAAAACAAAACAAAAAAACAAAAAAAACGAATCTGTAAAATGTTACCTCTCTGGAACTCGGATTTTACTGTGAACTTGTATCTATTTACTTAGATGTGCATAATGGTAAATGTGGTTTCATTTATTAAAAAGAATAACCTGGATATATATTATGTTGTACCAGGTGCTGTATTTATTGTTTGTCTAGCTATCACTTGCAGGTCAGTATTGATATACTTAGCCCTTAATTCAATTTCAGACAAGACTACGTGTGCTGTTCAGCTTCTTTAATTTAGAAAATAAATTTTGCAGGAAGGTGCTTTTTTTGAATGAATGATGTATTGATATTTCCTTCAAATTTGTTTTGTAGTTTATGGAGTTCATCAATTATTCTATTGGTGTTGGCAATGATTGTAGTGGATCTCATGGTGATCTTTCTTCCTTAAAAATTCTCTTTAAAAAAAAAAAAACACTTCCATTAGCTCTCATCTTTGCTCACAAGATACTATTCTACAGGGTGTGATGGCAATTCTTAACATCCAATTGAATGCAGTCTCTGTTGTTAATCTTGTAATGGCAGTGGGCATTTCTGTTGAGTTTTGCGTGCATATGACACATGCTTTTTCGGTCAGTATCACTCTATTAAACATTTATCTCAATATTTACTTTTGTCTTCAGGTTAGAAAGATTTGATCCATCAATTGTTCCATTTCAATTTTTTTCAAAGAAAAGATAAAAAGATACTTAGTAGTCAAATTTTCGGAAAAAAAATATGCTTTCAATGAAATGCTTTAATGACTTTAAATGGTTTTAAAATTCTTTATAAGGTATTTGTAGTTTCTCTGCTCATGGTCACTTCAAATCTTGGTTTGGTTATGACTTAAAGTAACCTTTGGTGTCAATGTGTCACGCTACCCTTTTCTTTTTCTGCAAGTGTGTGTATCTAAGATTTTCTGTACAGGTTAGCACAGGAGATAAAGATCAGCGCACCAAGGAGGCTTTGGCTACAATGGGAGCCTCTGTCTTCAGGTACTTATCCCAATGGCCGATCCACTTTCCTAAAAACAAGGACACTAACTCCTGTTTATTTCGCTATGTTTGGTACATCTCAGAGCATCATATGCAATAGATCATGCTTCATTAAAGAGCTGAAATGTTTAAGTCCAATGCCAATGGGCTCGTGTGTGATACAGATGTAGAACTTTTCTCCGTGCTAACTTGCATCCCCAATTTTGTATAATATCTTCTTTGTTGACATGCTTTTGCAGTGGAATCACATTGACGAAGTTAGTTGGGGTCATCGTGCTTTGTTTCTCGAGGACGGAAGTCTTTGTGGTACTAAATCGTTTACTTCATTGCCCGATTACACTGGCCAGTACTGTCAGCAGCCTCTAATATATTTCCATCCTTTGCTCTTATAGGTATATTACTTTCAAATGTACCTAGCATTGGTTCTTCTTGGTTTCTTGCACGGGCTCGTGTTCTTGCCGGTAAGTTAGTACACTTTTCGTAGCACGTGTCCTTACCATCCTCGATGCAAATCACAGAACTCATGAACACAATAATTAACAGCTGAAAAAAGCAAATATGTTTGAATAAAGACGGAAACCATGGATCGGGTTGCTCTGTTTGGATTGACAGTACTCAACATTGTGTTGTTTGCAGGTTGTCTTGAGCATGTTTGGTCCGCCTTCGAGACGCGTGCTCATTGAGCAGCGACAAGATCGGGCACCTGTTCCACCACAACTATAAAGAAGCTGATTACCAGAACAGTTCTTTTTCTAGGGTTCGCCTTTTTCTTTTCTAGCTGAAATTTTATGTATGACAAGAATAACAGAAATATCTAAAATAGCTCAACATGTAAATTATATAGCAGCTACTGACAAGAAAAAAAAAGGGTTTTTAAGAATTTGTTCTTTTGGCTCACATCAAGTTCCTTGGCATCAAGTTCATAATCCAACATGGATCATACCTTAATGTGGATGGTTCTACGAAGAAATTTTGACAAGCAAGAGTAAGAAGTCGGAATTTTAAAGCAATGAATGTTTCGAATTTAGGATACATCCAATTGCAGAATTATTAAAAACATTAATTATCGGTTTTTTATTATTTATTTAGCAATTTCTTGATGGTTGTTGGAGTTGTCTTGTGATGTCTCTTCCAAGACACAACATGGTTGCAATTGCAGAGAGGGTTGTGAACCACTATCGCCGACTAACTCTTAGTTTACCAGTACTTTCACTTTTCCAATATTGTAAGAGGTTTTAAGTTTGAAATCCGTATTAAGAAACACTACACCAACTAGCTCATAGTTTATTGATATTTCTCTTTTCAATATTAAAAGAGGTTCAAGTTCCCCCTCTCTACCTGATTAATTTTTAAAAAAAAAAATTGAGAACAACTACCAGTTTGATTCACAAGAGCAAACTCCTCGGAGTGGATAGAGAGTTGTTCTTTTCATTTTTCTAGTTGACTGCAGTTGTAGAGTGGTCCTTGCAGTAGGAGATAGTGGACTGTATCTCTATATCAAACCTATCCATTAATCTATTTCATTTCCCACCACGTTCTCACTGCATCACATATCATAGAAACAAACAATCTATTATCCAAAGATATGCGGCTGAGATCTCAAAAATTCAAACTCAAATTCCTCATTTGAAGTCCTTCCATCCAAAATTCAAAGTACACTAATTATTTAAGGAATGGGCTTTCTTGAAGCTCAAGGAATATCAATAAAAGTCACCAAAACTTTTTTACCAAGCAAATATCTTATAATAAAAAAAGGCTAAAGCCGCCTCAATATACTTCAAGTCCTTGAGGTAAAATGTAATTTCAGAATAGTAATTTCATGTTAATTTCAACCGAAAAACTCTACATCAATTTATTTGACGTAGTTCACGATTTAGACTTGATTGAAAACTAAACTCATTTACAGGATTAAAATTGTTAAACTTGAAAGACATGAATCAAAATGAAAAATGAGTCAAACTAGGAGAACAAAGATGATTGTATGACAAACTTCACGTATTGGTTAGTTAAACTTCGAAAATAGGCCTACTTTATTATTGAAAAAGAATTATGTTCATTCACTAAAATATACAGACAACTATCAACAACCAGCTTGTAATTAAAATAACTGAAAGCAAACACTATCAACTAGCTAATAGACCAACATAGTACACTTTAACCAATGGCTTAAGCTCGACATCCCCAAATAACTGCAGTTTAACATGGAGCACCCAAATAGTTCTTTTCCAGTATCCTTGCTTTCAGTTCTGTGAGACACAAAACTTGCATTTTTCTTTTACATTACTCTTTGTTGACATTGTGAAGATTTCATACTCCAACAACGGAGGCTTCCCTCCCTACTAAAATTAATTAAGGAAGGTGCGCCTCCATTTTTGAAGAAGGAAATACTCTGCTACCTCAGTTTTGCAACTCAGGGAGCATCATGGGCCACCTGTACCTATAAACCTTTCCAAATGATGACGAGAAAGATGGAGAGAGAGCTTAATTGTGTTGCTCTGTGACGATCTGCATACATCAATACACTCCTCTAAATCAGCATCACATGTTAATAAGACCCACTCTGAGTCATCATCCAAGTATTTGATATAAAATTTACTCATGTCTTCTATACTAAATCGCTTTGCGATTTCTTGCACCAAATCTTCATATCTCCAATCATTTTGCATGCGAAACCGGGTTTTCTCATCTCCGTATGCGACTTTTACTCTTCGAACCTCCCTTTCTTGAGCTACCCCATTATTCTTCAGTGAAGGTGGAATAGGCTGCAATTTTTGCAGCTCATTGAGAATTTTATGGCTCTGGGATCTTGGTAGTAGCTGTGTTCGATCTTGACCAAAGGCATGCAACTCTGCTTCACTTCTGACCCTCTTTAGCACACCATCGCCAGAGTTATCTCCAACAATTGGATCATCATCACCAGTGACATTACATGTGGGGCGATGTTGCTGTGTCCTGCTGGAACAGCATTGGCTTGAACTGGAACTCTGACTGCATGAAGATGAGGGTGATTTTGATGCAGTAGCCTGGGGGCTGACAACACCACCTTCAGGTGACAAGTTTGTTGGCTTTGGCTGATCACTCAGCTTTGAGGTTGAAAATGGGCTTGTCCCCGATAAATTCGGAGATGTTAACTCTGGGAAGTTTGTATAGAAAGAGTTGATTTGGAAAGCCCCAGATGCACCTTCAACTGAGTCAATTACAAGTTGGAGTTTCTGTAAAGAGTGACCAACCTTCTTAATTTTTCGAGATGGCCAACGTTTAATCCCGTGCTGTCTGCATATCCTTTTCAAGGTTGTGGAGCAAACTAAATACGATAAATTGACAAAGGAAAAAAAACCAATGACAAAAGAAATATATTAAAATGTTGACAGTAGAAAGTTTAACATAATCCGCATAAATATTGAAAACAGCAGATACTATAGTGTGCTAGTATTGTGGAACTTGTGTAATTCACTTCAAATTTAGGAGGTGTAACAGAAAAAACGAACATGAGAAACCTTATTTTGGAAGACTACAACGCACATATGTAGATTATACAATCCGTACATATAAAACAACCATTAAATTGCAGAAAGTATACAAACAGTCCCATTAGTCTGAAGGCTAGCAAAATGCCATACAAGCATTCACAAGAACTAAAATGTGAAATAGGAACCAGGTCTATTGCAAGAAATGCTTACCTCCAATACTATTTGCAGCATCCTTTAGGCTGCCTGAAAAATATTTTCTAAGAACTTCCAAGGTGATGGCTTTTTCTGCCCTAGTACGCCTTTTCTCTCTTGTCTTGCTCACACCAACACTTGAGAAGCTACCCTCGCCCAAAGCAGAACACTCTCTCCCACACTTGACACCAACCTTTAGGTTTGAATCTGGTTGATGTTGCCTTAACTTTGAGGATTTCACACCCAGCACCTCCCTTGGATTTTCCATTGGGAATATTGAGACATCATTACCACTCAGTTGGACCTCTGTGAAACTGGCAATACCGCTAGGTCTGGGATCCGAAGAGACTATCATCTCACTGACAGGAAAATCAGATTCCTCCTCTAGTTCCTTGTCTGTGACAACCCGTAAGCTCCGGCAAATCTGTTGTATAATTATGGACAGTGAATTTAGCATCTTTTTCTGTTCTTCTGGATCCCTGCACTCCACTGGCAAGAAGAACTCCAGAACAAAATCAGTTGAACCAGTTTTCATGCTCCTTAGACGTATTGCAACAGCTGCATGCAATCCGAACATCCTGGCATGGTGAGATAGAGGATACTCTGTCTTGACACAGGACGTTATGTCATCTGAGAAGCATGGTTGATTGGTCATAAAAGCTTTCCCAACAATGCCTTGGCCTTTTAACAAGTGATGCTCAGAGCAAGCTTCATGAAATCCCTCGATATAAGGATCAGTCACATGGAAAGCATGATCCACAGTTGAAACACAGTGAACGTAGTTGTCATCAGAATGTCTGCACCCATCTTTGCCTTGTTGGATGCATGACACCCAAGTTTGTGCCAAAGGCAATTTGTGTGTCTCGCATGCAGATCTCAAGACCTCTCGGATCTCAGGTAATGCAGCTTGATAGGGCTTGACACACCCCTGCTAAAATAATCCCACCAAATGACCTTAAAAGAAAATTGGAATAACGTGAATATCTAATAAATCAATGTTTCTTCAGGGAAATTATCCGTTTACCTTTACGTTTTGAGTACTCCAATTTCTAGAACTTTGAAGGTCAACAGCCTGCAAATGATAAAACTTGTCCAGATCAGAAAAAAATATTCATGTGAATAGCCTGCAAAGAATTACAACAAGTCATTATATGCTTGTGATATGAATCTCAAAAGTCCTTATTAAAGGAATATGGATCTAAGAAAGTTTCATATCACAAGCTTACAATAATTGGTAACTTATACTGTATTTGGAATTTTGACCCCAAAAAAAACATTTTATTTGGAATTCAATTACTTGTATCTTTAAAGCTATAATCACAGACATCAAAGGAAAAAATACTCGCTGATGAGGAAAAACAAGCATTTTTCTTTTTTTAATGGAAGACAGGAAGAGACATACAGGACCAAACTATTATGAATAAAACATAAAGGGACATTTATCTGCTAAGATATAAGATAAAGTTGTCACTCTTATTCTCAGTAACTTGAATGAAAGCAAACATGGGGACAAAAGATAGGTAATTTCTAATCATATGTCCATCATTAAGTTGGACTTTATATGCACCGATTCAGAAAGCTCATACTGATAAGCATCAGAATTAAGTTCCAAATTTTAGACCAAAAAAAAAAAAAGTTTCCCATTCATCAGGTGTGAATATATCTGTTAAAAGATCATGGGTTGCTTTCCTTCTCGTAATTTAAGTTTGAATTCATTACTTATCCTCTCAATTTGGGAAACAAGATTAGAGGATTAACAAAAGAACCTTAGTTATTAATATGAAAGCATAAGAAAATGAAGCAAGAAGTTTTACAATGTTAAGATCAGATGGCCATACTTTAATTTAACATGGGGATTCTCCAAAAAGAACTAAAAATTACCTAAAAATGAAAAGACATAATATGTTTCGACAACATGATTATCAGCTATTACATCTCTAAGGACTGATGGGACTTTAATTGATGTCAACTTTTGTAAAATTATCTGTTAATATTCATAACAATACTAATAAGCTCCAACTGCCTCTTGCACCACTTTACACTGCATTCACCGACCTGATTGAAAGGAAAAAACCGAAATGAAGAACGAAATTCTGATTCAAGGAAAGAGTACAGACCTCAAGTGCCTTGCAAACACTTTCAAGCTCAAGTTGATACTTTATCTTTTGGGTGGTTGTAACAACCTCAATCACACCCAAGCAAGTACTACTACCTTGTTCAAAGATAGGAAGAGCTAGAGTTCCACGTACATCATAACGTTGAGCATAGTCAACCCGTGGGTACTCATCACTTCTGAAGAATCGAACATCAGGAGTCCACTCAGGAACCTGACCTGAGAAAACCCGGCCGGGCAACCCCTTAACCAACTCCGTAGAATCCTCTCCAGTTGAGAATTGATAATTAACAGAGATGTCTCGATATTTGGAAAGCCTGGGACAGCTAGAATCAAGCGAGAAAAGGTCATCGTTAGTAGTTAAAACATTTCTACCCCCTTTATTTACAGGCACCCATACTTGTACAAGAACATTTTTGTCTCTCATGACATCTCGAATGCACACAAGAGCCCTCGTTAGTCTCTCCATCACAGATGATGCAGGACCTTGATTTCCCAAGGGACCAATCCACCACCTTCTGTTCAATTCATAACTTTTAATTGTAGGATCTGCTGAGTGACCAGAGTACCCATCAACATCTATCATATTCTGGCTCGGAAACTGAGGATTCACAGGACCTTCATGGAGTTGTTTGAAGAATGGTGTTTGTATCACTTCTTGATTACTGTTTTCAGATGGGTTCATGGTCAAATTGCCATTCGCCTCCAACGTATGCCAAAAAACTGAGGAGTTTAAATGGGCACCAGAATTGGCGTGGCTTTGATTAGGAAATTCAGGTCCATCTGTGGTTTCCAACCAGCATCCCTCTAAGAACAGTTCATCCATGAAGTCTAAATCCGTAGTGGAATCAGGTTGGGCTCCCATCATGGTAGCTGGTGATAAAACATCATCGTCCATGATGACCCTTGTGCAGAAGCCCCACTTTCTATATTATGCTCAGTTGTATTCTAGAACCTTTAGGTCCCAAAAACCAATCCGTCTTTGAGCTATAAAAAATGAAGATATCTTAGGAACAATTTACGTCTTTAGCGTCCTGCCTTCAAGTCCTAGTTTGTCCAAATTCCCCAATATCATAAACAAGAATCTTTTGAGTACAAAAAATAACAGAAGAAATTGCAAAAAAAAATTCATAGAGAATTAAGGAAAGTAAAGTTAACAAATCAAAACTAAAACACAAACATACGTCATTGCAGGAAGATTATATTCTCTTTTTTCTTTTCTTTTCTGGTACAGGATTATATTCTCAAAGTAGCAAAAACTAATCAAATCACCACCAGTATCTAACACAGTAATAGTATAATAGAATAGAATTTCAACGGAGAACCTTGGCCTCCCATATCCATCAAAATAGCAAATATCAATGATTCAAGTTCAAAAGGGGAAGACAGAACAAAATATAATAAATATAAATAAAAACCCACTTTCTACATCTTCTTCGAAAATACTCTACAAGTCTTCTACCAACTTGCGTTCAAGATTCCAATTTTAGCAGAAGAAAGTGAAAGATATTGTTCCATCAAGGAAGAGAGACTGAAATCAAGCATTTCATAATAGCGGAACTAATCTAGTTTCTGACCCAGGACAAATAAAACCAGAACAGAACCAAAAAAGAAGATAAAAAGGAATAAGAATAACTCACTGTGTGAGGATTCTTGTGGATACCCAAGTGGGTAGTTTCCTTGTATCATTCATATACTTTTTTCTGCAATACCCATGAAAACTGTCTGCAAGACAAGGAACAGAAGCAACGGAAAACCTTATAAAGAGCTTTCAAGAGGCTATTTCCTTGTCCTAGTTCCTTGTGATATCTCCCCACAATTCCAAAGTTTCAATCTGGGCCTCTTCTCCTTAGAAAACATGACTTATTCTGATTCCAGGCTATTGTTGTGTGAGAAAGATTCTCACTTCTGCACATGGACCCCACATACACGTACGCAAGAAACCAATCGAGGACATTGTACTTCTCGCTTTAAAGTCAACCAATGGCTTAGCAAAGATTACACAGAGAGAGATAGAGAGTGAGCTTGAAAGAGATTGAGAGTATCGTAATATAAGAAATTTAAAAGAAAACAAAAAAAGAAAAAGAGATTGAGAGAATCAGACAGCTGATTCTTAAATGGTGATGACGCCATAATTTGAAGCAGTGGAATCGGTGGGAATCAAAATTCCTTCAACACTGAATAAAATATGGAGGGATCGTGCCTCGGCACTCGCTATCTCCAGTTTAGATGCTCTCCTACGCCTCTTTGACTCACTCTACCTGTTTATTTTATTCACTTCAAGATTTTCTTTCTTCCTCATTCACCAATAAAAAACACAGTATTTTAGGTCCAATGGCAGGGGGAAAGAGAGTGGAGATAGAATTCAGAGGGAAGACAAGAGAAGATGATGGGAGGGAGGAGTAACAAAAATGAAAATAAAAACTAAAAAATTAAAATTATTTTAAATTATTTTAACTTTTATTACTCATGCCTCTCATCCTCTCAATCTCATCCAATTCTCACTCTCATCTCATTTTCCTCTTACTACATAAAACACCTCAAATTATGACCCATTACGACCAAAATAAAAAATAAAAATATCACTCATCTTTTAACTTCATATACAATTTGTTGGACATTTGTAAAGGCATACACAAATCCCCGTAAAATTTACATTCAACCCTTCTCGTTAGTTAGATCGTTAGTCCATGCGTTATATGTCTATGTGGCATTGAAACGGACCTTATGCACTCTTACGTGGACAACTTTTAGAGGGTATTTTTGGCATGAACCCACATGGTCCCCCACTATCCCCAAACAAAGACCCAAATCAACCCAATTCGATCCTTATGTCTAGGGATGACAATTTTCCTCGTTGGTTATGGTCTTTGAAGGGATTCACCCCTAATAATGGGTCAGGTATGAAGGATGAAAATCGAATTTAGGGAAATTTCTGCTTATAGTGTTTGGGGAGGGACGATGATGGTATTTCAATCCCCTTTCCAAACCCGAAAACCATTGTAAGGTCTGATATAAATTTTATTTCAACAATCCGAACTGTCCATTTTTTAAGTCTTCATTCAAAGGCTATCCTTACAAAAAATTAGCAAAATCGGAAACCATTAAGACATTCAATTGTGATCAACAAAATTAACGATCCAAGTACTTCAAGAAAACACTAAAATACAACCATCAATTGAGTTGTAAAATGATTTCAGATTCAAGTGATGGGGAGAAAATGCTTAATGAGAATGGGAATGGGAATGACATACCCACCTCTGATTCGCCCCATTACCATCCTTACCTAAGTCCCAACATACACAACCTAACACGATGTCTGCAAGTCAGAGAATGGAATTGGATGCACCCAAATGTTGATGCGGCAATGACTCTTGTTTGAGGATGTTGTGGACCAACATAACCCTAAGAGAAGATTTTGAGGCCGCACCTATTATGGGGTAAGTGTCATGAGATATTTGTACCAAAATTTGGGAATATGGAAATGAAGGTTAGAGTTGCTTTGAAAGATTAAGGATGGAAGAAGATGGAAAAAAATGAAAATAGAGGTTAGAGTTTCTTTGAAAACTAAGAGGAGTCTGCGAGCTTCTCTACTTGGTTCCTAGAGTATTATCATTATGCTACTGGGGAATTGCATTTTATGATTGGTTTATGTACTCTGAAAACTAGTCAATAATGAAAATGGAGAGAATTTTGTTATTTGCATTTGGAGCTGAAATAAATATGCAAAGTGTGCCAAAAGTCATAAACTAAGATTGTCTTAAAAGGCAACATAATTCCATTTCCAAAATAAACATAGTCAAGTCATGATTTCGTTGTTTAACAATAAGCACCAAAAGACATGATGAACAAATACTATCATTACGTAATACACATTCCAAATAATGTCCCAAAAGGCAACAAAAAAAACTACCAAATTTGCAATGGATTTCAAAATAGTGTGCAAAAAGGTATAAAATAAAACTTAAGCTCTACGTTCTCTTTGTCATTGCTGCTCTCACTTCATTTGCTAATACTTATTTCACTTACGGAGTAGAAATTGTTGAAGCTTTGCTTGGCTGGGAAGCCTTTCTCTTTGTACCAACAACTTTTCTTTTGGAACATTGTGTAGATGATGAAGCTCGTTTGACCTACATTCAACAAACCAATTGGTAATAAGTAACATTTAAAATTAGCAAACTAATAATAGAGAACTGAGAGAAAATTAAAATTCACACTAGCATCACCCTATTGATTTGCAATATTTCTTGGACTTTATATACATCTTGATGGTGGGTTTTCCTTTTCAGACAGATGCATATGGTGAGTGGTTTTGCTATGACCTTATGAGCAACAATTAGTACACCTAATATGGATTCCTTGTTTTCTAATCCATTTTTTGGCTATTCTTATTAGTTTTCTCTTCATGTCCTTTCATTCTTATCTTTCTAAGCTTGTCAAGTTGTCTAGTGTATGTTCTGACTTCACTATCAACTAGTTTGTTTTATCCTAGAGTTGTGGTCCATTAATAGACATGATGAGGTTGTTATAGTAGCTCGTGTAAATGGCCTTGATGTATAAGGTTCATTAGATATGTGTGTCACATAAATATCTATTTTCATCACTGTTGGCACACATTTTTATCACATCATCGTTCGCTAGCATAGTGATGTAATATTATGCCATCATATCCTAACTCTTTAACTATGCTCCCAACTAAAAACATAGACATCATATCCTTATTACAATAGTCAATGAAGTCTACAATCTCATTTACATACATGTTGTCACACATAGTACCCCCATCGTTCATTCTAATTGTACCTACAAAGCCACATGCACAAACATCTTGGACCACAAACATAGGGACGAGTGTGGCTTTCTAATCACTTCATGTATTCATTGGTTAAGAGAGAAATAAAGGTTGGGAGAGTGAGGTTCTTGTACTTGATGAGTGCTTGTACTGCATGAGTGTTTAAGAGGCAAAACACACTATTGTGCAATGGTAGTTAAGGCCGTTTTTGATCCGGTGACAACAACGAAATAATGGAACCGACAACAATCGAGAGGCTGCGGTATGGCGAAAATGGGAGCCACCACTGCACCGCTGATAATTGGTTACTGGCTATTTCGGTTGCGGCCGTTCTATTCGATGACGGTCGGTTGCTGATTACGCACGAACAAAGGAGAGAGAGAGAGAGAGAGAGAGAGAGAGAGAGAGAGAGAGAGAGAGGAGTTTGTGGCCATCTCTCATCTCTTCGGCAACGACGCCTAGGCGAGGAAGAAGAAGCTGAGATGTTTTTTTGTTTTTTAAAAAGACCTGGACCAAAATAGCGTTGTTTTGACCAAGTCATTTAAAAACTTTCCCTTAGGCAAAACGACGTCGTTTTGCCTTGGGTGTTTAAAAAAAGAAGAGAAGCCCAACTACTTCTTCTTCTTCCTCGCATAAGCACCATACAAGCTTTTCTGTCTCCTCCTCGGTCTCTCATCTCCCTGTCTTTCTTGCTCTCATCTGTTGTCTCATCTCTTTGTATCTCTCGCTCTCCTGCTCTGTCTCTCTCTCATCATCTCTTTGTCTTTATCTCGGTTAATTGCTATTGCCGACGATTTGGTATCCTACAACCACATTCACAATCACAGCATTTGGGTTCGATTGTCCAACCGCAATTGATGGTTGACCGAAAAAGTCAACGGTTTGCCAATCGAAAATATCGGTCAGAAACTGACAGTTTTCGGTATTTGTAGTCCAACCACACAGCTCTAATAGTAGTGCATAGAGTTTGTATGAGTGTGCTTCAATACAAAGACAGTAACTAATTGGAGGTATGATGTAGTGAAGAAGTATCTTGTTGCGAATCATAAAGTAGGCTCAGTAACAACGAGTGAAGTGGAGGTCTTAATTAGAGAAGCCAAGGGCCCAGTTTGACATTTATGTGTTTGAGTAAAGATGATCCTAGTGTTATGGAGGAGGTCAATGACGATTGACAATCGGACAAGGACCTAAAAGGATGGGATGATGTCAGCACTTTGCAATTGGAGAATTCCAAGTTTGGTGATTGCATTAGACAATACCAACAAAAATTGTACATCTCAACTTTTGTATTTATGGCCATTATTTTCTTTGTTTGGGAAAATTTTGAAATTGACCACAAATTTTTTAAACATTTTGATTTTTAAATATGAAAATTGAACACTTTGTCTTTCTTGTAAACACAATCATATGAACGCCATAAAGCACACATATCCATACAGTTGATAATGTGCATTGTGCGCATGTCTTAATACTTATTAGGGGTGGGCATCGATACTGCAAAACTCGAAAACCGAGTTGAACCGAATGGGGAAATCGTTAAAAACTGAATTGACTAAAAAGTTAACAAATTGCAACCAAACCGAACCAAACCAATTTCAATCGATCTTGGTCCCGATTTCACAACTCATAACACTAAAGCAAACTGGACCGTTACTATTTAATATATATTTTTATTTTATTATATATATTATATAATAAATATTAATATATTATTTCGGCCACAATAAAACTGGCCACATGTAATGCTTCCCCCCAAGCTAGGCGGCTAAGCCTAAGTCGACTTAGGTTTTTTTTGTTTTGTTTTTTTTTCATTTCTCTCTGCCTCTTATGTTCATCTTCCTCTTTGATATAAAACGCAACACAGTGAACACATAGACAGAGACAGGACATCGATGCCGACGACACAGCTCTTCACTCCATCGTTGCTCCTTTGCCATCGACAACGACACAATTGAGGTAAGAACTTCTTTATCTCATTCCTCTCCATTTTTTGAACTGGAATATTTCTTTAATCCCAATTTCTACTATCTGCCGTTGAATCACGATTTCGTTGGTCTGGATGAGAAAATATTATTAGATTTTTAGTTTGTTTTAATTATTTTAGATTATGGGTTTTAATTAGGGTTTACAATCGTGGGTTTGAATTGAATGACAGGTTTCAATTTGGGCTTTTAGTTATGGGTTTTGGGTTAGGGTATCAATTTAGGGATTTGTTTTTTATGATTTTAATTCGGGCATGTTGATTCTAATATTTGTTCCATTTGTGACAAGGGCTTCGAATTGTTGTTGACGTTGCTTGGAATTAGGCTTGCAGTTGTTCGTGTTGTTGTTCCCAAAGGTATATATATTCTTATCCCTTTAATTTCATTTGATTTCATTTTTTTATATATCTTTTTTGCAATTGATTAGCATGTTTGTGTTGCTGATGTTGAAATCTTCATATGATGATGGTTTGATGGATTGATATCAT